GCGGCTGCAGCTGCTGCTGCTGCTGCACCTCGCCTCTCTCGTCTGCTGCGCTGCTGACGCCTAGAGAGGTCTTCAGAACCAGGAGGCAGAGGTATATAAGGATACCCATAGTTGTATGGAGGAGGGACAGCTTGCTGCTGCTGCTGTTGCAGCAGCTGCTGTTGCTGCAGCTGCTGCTGTAGCTGCTGTTGCTGCAGCTGCTGCTGCTGCAATGCAGGGTTGTAAGGAGTAGGATAGACATATAAGGGAGCTGAAGGGACAGTCCCTCTGGAGTACTGATCGTAAGCTGCTGCTGCTGCTGCTGCTGCTGGAGCATAGAGAGGGTTATCCTGGGGTGTTGCTGCAGCATAGCTGCAGCAGAGCAGCTGCAGCAGCAAGGCAACTGCCAGCACCAGCAGCAAAGGAGGTTTTTTCTTGTTTTGTTTGCGCTTGCAAACGATTAATGATAAAAAAAGAGAAGAAAAACTTTTCTCTCTATCCCCCATATTAAAGAAAGACAATAAAAAAGCTGACAGAGGCCTCGATGAGGCGCATCTTTTGATTTGTTGTTCCATTAGAAAACAGAGAAGAAAAGAAGAAAAAAGAAGAGAGAAGAAAGAAGATTAAAACGTTGCAGCTACATGACTCCCGCCACAGATGACGGCAGTATATAATATAAAAAGAAGATTTGATGGTATTTACTTTCAATATAATGCAAGAGAATATATAAAAATTCAAAAATATGAATGCGAGGCAGCCATGTAGTCGTGCGCGGTTGATGTGCAGGTGTACATACACCGCAAGCAAGAAACAAGCAGGAAATAAACAAGATAAACAATCAATAGTTTTATTTATTTATATTTCAATATTTAATTTGCAGAAGAAAACAAAAAATTTACTTCAGAAACACCCACAGAAGACAGTAGTAGGCCACTGGTTTCGCTGGATGGTTAGGGGTTGTGCTGAGGGTTTTTCTGAGTATTTTTTCTTCTTTTTTTGAATATTTCATAAAATTTATATTTTATAATTCAATATTTTCATTTTATTTATCTATTTACTCGTTTTTTCACCTCACTAGACACACAAATCTCATTTCTAGCCCCATGCCTCGGGGCCTCCCGCCTACTGGCCGATGATGGCTGTGCGTTCAGCACCATTTTCGTTCTCTTATAAAAGAAGAAAAAAGCAATAAAATAAACTCTTTAAAATTAAAATAAAATATAATTCTTTTATATTTACATCAAATCAAATACTTTCAAACAATGCAAGATGTTCTGTCGTCTTTTTCAGTGCATTGTTCGGCGCCTCGGTAATATCAACAAACACGAATAAAAAAACAATTAAAAGTATATTAAATTTAAAAAAATTGAAAATAAGTGGAAATAGAATCTAAATATAATTCAGGATTAAAGACAGGACTTAATTATACAGAAACGGTATTAAAATTATGTAAGAAAAGACGTATAAAGATATATCTAATGATACATCAAATCAAAAATAAATAAAAGGAAAAGCCTATAATTATTAATTAATTAACAACCAATAACTTATATCCATATATACATGTACATATATATACATATGCATATATACAATATAATATAATACGTGAATGTATATAAATATATATATATATATATATGTATATTATATATATAGGAAAATGAATTAGAAGAATGACGAGAAAAATACTTTAAACAATAAATTAAGATAAAGATAATGCAGGAGATAATAAGCCAAGGAAAACGAAAGAAGAGAAAGAAGCTGTAGAGCATTAATAATGAAGTTCGCAATATTAACGAACAAATACAAACAAATAAACGAGAAAATATTTAAAAGAATTGGGGTTTATTTTTATTCTTTCTTTTTTTCTTCTTTCTTCTTCTCATTAAACCTTTGGAGGGCAAATACAACTATCAACTCCTCGGCATTGCTTAAGAAAAAATATATATACATATATATATATATATATATATACATATATATATATATATAAATTTATATTAGATCAGCCCAGCTAAGGAGGCATCAAATGCAGAAGAGAAGTCTGCAGTAACTCCCTCGAACTCATTACAGAAAGAGAGCGCTGTCCTTGCATGCGTCTGTCAAAAATAAATAAATAAATAAATAAATATATTGTATATGCATATATATATACATATATATATATATATATATTCATTATAAATGTACATAGACAACATATAATATATATATAAATGTATATATATATACATATATATTGTTTATATGCATGAATATATATATTCAGCAGCACTATGCTAACTGTTTTCTTTAATAATGCATTAGAAGAGCTGGGGTTAATTCTTTTTTATTTAATCGCCGTTCTTTGTTTTATTTCTTTTCTTTTCATCTTCCTTCTTTTGTATTTTGTTGAGATTCAAATGTATATATGTATATATATATATATATATATATATACATGTCTACATATATATATATATATATATATATATATACTCTCTACTAGATAAAGATATCTAAATACACTTTTAAATATAATATTCAATAATATATTAACTTAAATAAGATATTTACTTATTACTATATATTTCTTTGTGCATTAAACGTGTTGAATTTGTATGAAAAGCAAACTAGAAAAACTAAAGGAGATAATTTAAATTTGCTTTATATTTCAAAATTTAGATTTGAGGTGTACGTACAATTATAAACATCTTCGTTCGCCAGTTGCTGAGGTCAGCTCTTCAGCTGTTTCCTGCTGCGTCATTAATAAACCAACATTCAAACAAACAAAGAGAAAACAGCCAGCCATACAAGCACAGCAAGAAAGTAGTGCATGCATGCATGCATGCAGTGCATGCATGCTTGCAGTGTTTGCATGCATGCATGAATGCATGCATGCATGCATGCGCACGAGGCCAGCCTCGTTTCCCTTGCAGCACTTCATGCATGGAAATAAAAAGAGGCAGCCCCGTTTCTCTTTAAGCCTTACAAGTATGCATGCATGCATGCATGCATGCATGCATGCATGATTTTGCATGCATCTAAGCCGTGTGCATGCAAGCATGCTTGCATGCATGCATGCATGAATATGAATGCATCTCCATTCCACCTCTGTTTGTTTTTCTTTTTCAGTGGTCTTCATCCGCCAGTGCCGCTGCCGTCTGCCCCCTGCTGCTGTACTAAGCCCCAGGAGTATGATTGTATTAAAGCGTTTGATGTTGTTGCATGCAAGTGGACGAATTACATTTCATCATCAAAAGGGAGATCATCAGCTTCTCTTTGTTTATCTGGAGGGAAGGGTAGACACAATAAATATTCCTGGGGTAAGAAATCGTCCTCTAGGCGTTGTGCTGCTCTTCTTGCTTGGTGGCACTTCTCTTTAGCATTTTCTAATGCATCTTCAAAGTCTGTCGTTGCCTGCTTGTGTTGAGCGCTTTCTATTAGAAGAGAAAGATCTGCTTGTTTATCTTCGTGCTGCAAGTAACGAAGCTGTGCTAAACCATAGCCTGATCTAAAGAGCTGCTGCTGTGCGTCATAGGCCTCTTTTAAGGCGTTAGCGAAGTCAATAGCATCTCGTAGACGGCGTTCAGTTGTAGCTGTTTTGCCCCATTTATCTCCTAAATCTCTTGCTCCTTTCTCTAGGAAAGCAACTAAGAGATTAGATGCATCAGTCCATTTCGCCGCAAGAACAGGCAATTTCTTTGCCTCTTTTGAGTATTCTTCAGGCGTTATGCTTGGATCTCCTAACCTAACCTTGAGAGCAAAGAAGTCACTGTATCTCTCTACTGTTCTACCAACCAAAAATATAAACCTATCCATAAAGTGTTGAAAATCTCGTTGCTCGTCGTCTACGCTGCCTAAGCCATTCAGGAGTTCTTGAACTCCCTCTAAGCAACCAGGGGGATACAGCTGCTTTTCTTGTGCATCTTTCGATGTTGAATACATTGAACGAAGATACATCTTTAAGTCTCCTTGGTTTATGCCTTGAACCTCCGCTACTCGCACCTCCAAACTCTCGCTCGTATCTTCCCCTACAGGCGTCAGGCCCAGCAAAGAAGCTAATGTTCCTTCTGTTTCTGCTGCTTCTGCTGCTGAGGAATCCGCACCACCCTTACCATTATCAATCAGTTCATCCAGTAAGGAGTCAGCGCCGTCAGAGGCGAAGGAAGAACGAGCAGCCAACGCCACCGCCGCAGCTGCGACAGCCACCCCACGAGAAAAACGTAACATTGCTGCAGTTTTGTTGAAATTAAACAAAATTAAATTAATAACCAGCTCAAGAAAACAAAAAGATAAGAAGAATCAACACAAAGAAGAAACAAAAATCACGCGATCCTCTGTCGATTCCTCTTCCCTCCCAGACGCCAACAAGCAGACGCCAACTCTTGAGGGAAAGCAGTGCGATCCGCCGATAACTATCGAAAAGAATACGAATTAATAGAATACTTTAACTTAAATAAGTATAAAATAATCTTCAATTCCTTCAAAAGAACGTCATTAATGCAGGATCGCTCGAACAGCAGCCGCCTGGCTGGGTCCAGCCGTAGTAGCTGCTGCATCTCTGTTCAATGTTTGTACAGTTTCGGTAGTGTTTGTGTGTTGTTATTAGTAGCTTGATTTAATTTAATTTTTACTTCTTTTTAATGATTTTTGTTTGTTTTAAACTCTTTTCATCTCGCTGCATGCATACTTCCCCCCTTCCTTCCCTCGTTCACATTCTCGCTCAGGTTCGTCTTCCGGCCGGCTCATCTCGTTCGTTGCTTCTCAGTCTTCTGCATGCAGAAACAGCATATAATCTGCAGCAATTGTTTTAAAAAAAGATATTTGATTATATATTTTATTCAGTCGCTTCGTTCCCTTCAAGAAGATATATACATACCCTAGTCTACCCACCGCTGCTGCACGAGTGCAAACAAACACATCATCATCATAACATCAAAAGAAATATTTCTTCAAATCCCCCAACCACTTTGCCTCCTTCTTCAATCCGTTTCACTCGGCCTCTCTTATTAGCTTAGGGAGAAGAAGCAGCACAATACACCCAACTTTACGAACTTAGAAATATATATATATTTTCTTAATTTATATATATATATATATATATATATATGTATATAGCCCGGATACTATATATATATATATATATGTATATAGCCCGGATACTATATA